AAATTTAAAAATTGAAAATTGTATTAAAATTACATCCATCGAATATTGTTTTAGTTGTTTATGCATATGAATATTACTGTAGTTGAAAAATATTTAGTTTTAAAAAATATAAAATACCATGTGTAAATAAGTGATAAAACATAAATTACATCATATTTTGTTAACATTTAAAAAAATGTAGGATACTCGCACATACCWACTGGCTACTTATTAAAATTAAATTTATTCAATCATTTGTGTTTTAAATAATTTCATTTTTTATTATACTAATAAAAAATTATAATTTAATTTTAATAGGACCTAGGGATTCAAGTACTTTAATGGGACTTTCTGCCGAAAAAAAATGTTATCTTTTATCAGACAATTGGCCACTTCCACTCGAGTGCTACGTGTCCAAAAGTCGTTATCATCGAACTTATACAAATGTATTCAGACAGATACCCCCGAGAAAAAAAATAGATCATAGTTCGCACGCATTTTCTTGTGTAAACATACCCAACTGGATGTYAACAAAAACAAACAAGTAAGATAAAAATAGTATAGAATCTTAAACGGTAAATGTATGTTTMTATATGCATCAACACAAATAATACAGATACATTTGATAAGATTGAATTAGAATTTATACTATTTTGTTGGATTTAAAATGTWAAAAAATACCAAATAACATTTTAAGGTGATTTTTCATTGTTTATAATGAATATTGTTTTTAATTTTATGATATTTCATTTATATCAACGGAGTTTTATACTACTTGTCCAGGCATCCATTTAACAGTTCACAACGAATCGGTGATAGTTCAGAAATGATTGARAATTCGCTAAAACCGGGACCGGGACACTACAATATCAATGTTTATAAACATTGCACAGAAAATGGACACACGAACGTATTTAAAAGTACTACAGCGCAAAGGTTGCAAATAATACGCCAAAGCTATGGCATATTTGATTAAATATACATAACTTTTGAAAATYGATTCAATTATTTACGTTTTATATCACATCGTTATGGTCAAGGAAATTATCAAATGTAGATATAAAAGTAATAAAGTATACCTAAAAATAATTTTGGAATTTTGTTTTTTTTT